CCCATGTATATTTTTTTAAATCTGCACAATAACAGTTTGTGAGATGATTTTTCTTCCCCATGTTACTCCTAACCATGGCATGGGTGGAGTGCTGGTGAATTATCCCAAGTTTACAGGAAGGTGCCCTGGAGGCACTGTGGCAGACCTCTAGTCTTCTGCAAGCTTCAGCAAAGTCTGTCACAGATAGCAATGCAAGAATACTTGTTCAGTTCACAGCTTTGAATTCAATACTCCTCATTGTCTTATCTTCCTTCACATAATCCTTGGGAAAATAATCTAATAATTGCCACGGGAAGACATGACAAAACAAAAAGATTTAAGAATTTGTTTGTGAAAAATAAAATATCCATCTCATCTGACTTTCTTTTTAAGCAAAATTTTAAAGACTTTCCAGCTCTGAGAAGTTGGAAAATTAAATAATAAATTACAGGATACACCAGATACTTTCTTAAAGAATTAAATTTATCTGATTTCCCCATTGAAGGCATAATACTGGAACAGGAATATACTTTGGCATGAGGCCTCTTGTGGTGTACTAGATGTGTCTTTCTACATACTTGTGATTCACAGTTGTTTAATGTTCATTTTTGTCTTGTTCTTGCTCTATCAGAGTCATTTTGGAGGTGGCTTTTATAATATTTAGGTTTTCTGCAACTTTTGTTATTAAAATTCAGTTGTACAGCTATTACATGAGGTAATGAATTCTACTGCATTTATTTACCTTCCTCTGTATCTTTTCTATGTAAAAAGAAAAGCTTTTTCTTAATAAACATTTTTTAAAAAATCAAGTCCAAGAACTTTGATTTTTCAGAGATACATAATACAGTATTGTTTGTATTCTTTGAGAAATTTTCCATCTTTTCCATCTAGAAAATGTGTTCCTAATTTGTGGACTAAGTGGTTGACTGCTGTTGGTAATGTTGACCAGTTATCCAATCCTTACCAGTGGAATACAGCCACTTGTATCCAACTTGCTGCAGGGCATCTTAACCTGAAAGTAAATGCCTGCATGGATTTCTTGTGAGTCCTCTGAAGTATTGTCTGACCATCATTACTTTGGCTTCCTATGAAGATGGATGAGGCCTGTAATGGTCATGCAATGACTGAATTTCATGTTGACTAACATAGGTGAAAAGGTTGTAAATTCTTAAATTATTTGTCTGACTACATAATGAAAATAATCACTTAGTCATGTCTTAACTATATTTTTTCATTTGTTTGTTTACCATTTAACAGAAAAGTACCTCAGTGATTTATTTTCTCTGAAATCTGGTAATGAGCTTGCGAGCCTGTTCTGCAGCTCTATTTCTGCTGGAAGGGCAAGGACAAAGTAGAGATTTCACAAGAACCTCCTGCATCCAAATATAATTAAATTAGTGGGGGCTTTGTCCCATCATTTGTTTAATCTGGTTTCCTGGCTATGAGAGTGGCTGTCACCAAACGTTACACATCCTTTGAAAAACTCTGTGGTAGGCAAAGACAAGAAGGTCTGCTCTTACCATAGTTCTGCTGCTTGAGGTAGAAAGCTTTATATCCCCTGCAAAATTTGTTTTTCTGGTAACTCTGAATCTTCCTCTGAATATTTCCTTTTACATTCAGTTATGTAATTTTTTTCTAGGATATAAATTATGTAGGAAGAATACAGTCATAGCCACATTAAACTAATCAAAGGTGACAGTAATGGGTAAACCAGAGCTCAGCTATATTTAATGAAATACCATCAAAACTCATAAATCATCTCATTTTGATGTCAAGAAAAACAGTAGGCAGAGACATCTTTTTCCTACATTTTCAAAATGAAGGTGATTTCTTAGACCTCAAAAGCCACTAATTAAAGTATTTTTCTAGAGCAGGTAAAAGAATCCCTTGTGGTAATCCGACATGGGACTTCAGTGTGGTAAATTTATCAGTTTACAACAGCAGGACCAAGTAATTGCAAAGCATGTACCCCACTGGGACAGAAAGGTGGAAGACTTACCACTAACAATGCTTATCATTTGAACACAGATGGAAAAAAACATTTGTCCACCAACACAAACAGACGAATGGAGGTAAATAGCTAGGGGTGAGGGCTTTGTCAGGCTTGATGAACCTGTAAGGCAGATCACTTAAAAATAAATTTAAAGAGTAAATAAATATAATAGGATTTTATTTTATAAAAATGTATTTGATAAAAATGTCTTTAATGAAGGCATTGTTTACATGGCCCAGCTTCTATTGGCAAAACTTGCCATGGAGCCTGCTAAAACTGGGGTTTTAATCTCCTTCCTGACACTACTCTTGCTCTCATTATCACAATCGTGGCTCTCTGTCTTCTTACACATCACATGTATGTTTGAGGAGAGCATCATAGGTTTTAGCCAGCACTTAATTAGGGTGTTCATCATCCCTGACCACCTGTGAAGCACAGAAGGGACCCTGGGAGGAGCACGGCTCAGACTGCCACTGGGGTAGAACACAACTCTCCAAGGGCTTTCTCCGGTTAATTACTGTCATTGTTAACAATTCAGTTCTAATCTGAATTTACCTAATTTCAGCTTTCAGTCAGAAGAGCTTGTTATCCCTCCACCTACTGAATTGAAATCACTTCTAGTATTTATTATCTCACTCTGTAATAATCAGTGTTAAGTGCAACCCCAAGTATAGTAATTTTATCATCACTGGAAGCAAAAGGACTAAGTCTTTTGCATACATCTCAACCTTTTGACACGCATAAGTATACACTCCACTTCTTTTAAAATCTTCATCTTTATTTTTTAAGGTCTCTGCCTCATCAGTACTGAAGCCCAGCAGCAGGAAACTGATATGTCACAGCCAAAGCAGAAATAAAGACAAGACTAAAGAGATCTCTAGTATACAATATGCTAATGGAAGGAAAAACCAAGGATGGTTTAGAGGAAAAGCACAGTGTTAGAGGGTATCACATGCCATCATACACCAAATTCCCTCCTTCCAGAACATAGAAAGTGGCTACACAAGTATGAAACAGCAGGATTACTAGTAATTTTGGGCATTTATATGGGAAAAAAATAATAGGAAATTAGGTAATCAACACTGATATATGAAAAAGTATATCATGCAACAGTAGGTCAAGAGCCATTAATTACCATTGTTGCAGAATTCCCATTAGCCGCTTGGTGTGTTTTTAATGTGGTGCAAAAGATGAAAGCAAGAAGCAAGGAGGGTCACTGCTGCAGGATCCAACTCAGCGAGCTCACCCTAGGGACAGGAGGGGGACAACCCTTTCAAGGACAAAATGCTGGCAGCAAAAGCACCTTTGACAAAGGTGGGGAGCAGTCAGTACAAAAGACACTTCCTTCCTTTCTTCCTGTCACGTGTGCTCCTGGATCATCACCAGACCTCCAGCGTTCCTGAATCCCGGGACCTGGTCAAAGATGAATCTGTTCAAAAGTGCCATATTCAGCTGCAGGCACTTAAACTACTTAAGTATCCTTTGCTACAGCTGTTAATTGCTGAATTGGCCCAAGAATCCCTGACAGATGAGCAGCATTAAAGATTTAGCTCTTGCTAAAACAGAATTGCACTGTAAATTAGGTAAATTATGTCCTTTGGTAGCAGCAGAAAGGAATTCGGTCTTGGCAAGATCAGTCTCCTTAGGAAGAAATTAACAGCAACACCTCTGTTTATTTGTTTTAAAAGCAGCTGATTGTTTCTCTTACATGTGAATTGTGCTGCTAATGTTTATGAATTTAGCACAGCTCTCTAAAGCTGGTCCTTAGAAATCAGCATGCTTGCACTAGTGAGAGTGCCAAGTGTCATTAATTTACGAGTCTAGGCAAAAATCAAAGTTTTTAAGGGACTAGTACCAAGAGACTCAGAAAGTTGAATTAGTATAGCTGTCACTGACCTTCTTTCTGAGTTAGGATAAAATATTGAATTGGTAGGCCTAAAAGGGTCTAATTTTTCACTGCAAGAAGAGAATACACTGTGAATTTCCTATGTGAACACTGATATTCCAACCAATCCAACCACTTAAGCCATTAGACAGGAAATCTCTATATAATGAGCGAAACTATTCAATTAGGCTTCAATCCTGCATGCATACAAATGCTTCATTTTGCACTCACACAGTCCCCCAGCTTCAACTATTGTCACAAATTAAGATGTGTACCATAGCACAGAGGTTTTAGCTAGTCCTTTTAGGTTCCAATTTGATCACAAGTAATACTGAACACAGTAGAAATACTGAATCACAGTAGCATCCCTGAGACAAATATACATAAAATCTGCCGTAACTAGCAGCCTCCACTGAGCCGTACTTTGCTCATTATAGAATAATATCCTGTAGATCGGCATTAAGATGCACTAAGATAATATATTCCTATTTCATACTAATTTTATAATAGAACCCGAAGGCTCAAATCAATAAACCCTAGTTATATTACATTCTGTGCAAAAATAACACACCATACTCCTGTCCAGCTCTATCATTAGGTTGAGATGGAAAGACAACAGATGAATGCAATATTAAGGAAGATGGGGAAAATGGGGTAAGAGTACCACCGAATTTTAAGTGATTTAAATGGGTGATGTGTACAGCTGTGTAGTGACAAATGAATAAAGCTATCAATCAGTGACAGCCATTAACACTCTTTTTGTATGACTTTTGTACTGACATTGGGAAACCCTTCAACACGAGCATTTTTCACTTCTGAGCACAACTGCATCTCAGACTGCAACAATCTCTGATAGTTTAAAACCTAAACTCCTACAGTTTATTGTAAGAATGAGTATGAAGAGGACCTTTAGGCAGGCTCCAAGAAGAGGAGAGTGTTAAAAGCAATTGGTTTAATCACAGCTGTCTGCTACCCTCTACACGCAGCCTCACTTCCTCCCTCCCAATCAGGGATAATGGGGTAGTAAATAGTTACTTATTAAGTTCTCACTTAAACTCTTTTTTTTTTTTTTTTTTTTTTTTTTTGAAAAGAGCACTTTGGTGGTGCATATTTATTCCCTTCTGCTGATGATTGAGTGCTCTCGCAGCATGGCAAGGCCCCCAGGGGTGTTCAGTGTCGCAGAAACTGGAACTGAAGCACCCTGCTTAGGGGTCAGCAAGACAAAAACAGAAAAGTTGCAAAACAGTTGGCGGGAGCTCCACTGGGGAAGGGTGGGGACACAATAGCATGGGAATATTTTCAGATGAAAACTGAGATCTTTTTAAAATTTAAACTTTACTTCTTGTTGTAATACAGAAAATGGACTTAACTTCCTCCATGGCAACATATTTAAGTAGACAAGAACAGAGTACTTTTTGAAGGTGGGGATATAGAAAGCTGGTTAAAAATAATATTCTAGGAACCAGCTTTTGGCAATTGAGTGAGATTTTATGTTTATTGACATTTAAGGTACATTTACAGAACTAAATTATTCATACATGTATCGAGAATAAAATGACTATGTGAAAGACATCTTATAAACAGACTGAAAGGTGGGAAGATGCTTGATTTTTCCAAGGACTGTATGATCGCTGCTTTCCACTGGTTGAATTCATGTTGCCAGTGCCTGGACTGGGGATCAAGGTCCCAATCCCTCTCCCTACTCACACAGATGCACCCCTTTCACCCAGGGCCTGGCAGCCAGCCTGCAGTTCAGCTCCTGACTGAGCTGTGCCATTTTATCACTGCTAATTAACAGTTTGTTGTGAGTAGTGTTGCCATCAAAACTCTCTCACTGGATTCCATACATGCTGAATTGCAGGAGCTATGGACACGCACACGACCAGTATGATCAAGCAATGCCAATTTGTTGAAGGTAAGCAAGCCCTTTTATAGCTTTCTCCTGTTTACGCAAACGGTACGTGGTACAGTCCTTATGATTGGATGGTTAGCTTTGTCCACGCGCTTCAGGCCTTCCTGCGATTGGATAATAAGCACCACGCTCAATGTCTTTGTCCGCCCAACCCATCTCCTGGAGTTGTTTGTTTGCTGAGTTCTTTGTTCTATGTCCTTGTCATGTCCTTGCCGAGGCGTGCACATGTGCAGGATTGCTCACATGTCCATTATCTCCCAACATATCCCTCTTTTTGTTTTTGAGCAATCAACATTCCTTGCAGGCTTTTTTGCAACGATTATTAATACAACAAACTAAGCATGGCAAAATAACAACTAACATAACAATTACAACAATTCCAACAATTCCCCCTTGTAACAACTTCTTCAAACTATCCTGTGAACATAGTTAACTTTCCTATGTAACATGGGCCCCTACTCATTTGGAAGGGATTTTAATAAACACGTTCAGAATCTATGAGCTTTAATCACTGTCAGAACCATTGCAAGGCTTAGGATTGTGAGCTTGACCGGCTTTACAAGGCCGCACCCAGCGAGATGGAACCCACCATAAGCCATGATCTGTAAGCAAACACATACAACCTCTGCCTGTTAATTGTACTTTAACAGGTCCTTCCCATTGCCCAGTATTTAAATTTTTGAACATAACTAACGGTTGATGTGTGCCCATTGTTCAGTATTGTTCAGTATCACCCTTTATTGCTAAACTGTGAATCATCTTGACATTCTTGACATTCTCCTGTAAGCCTCAAAAAATGTAAAACATATAAAACTTTGTTTAATCATTCATCTGGCATCATATCCAACATTTCCCTTTTTTGTTTTTGAAGCATTTGCTTCAGAGTTTGATGAGCCCGTTCGATGATAGCTTGTCCAGTGGGAGAGTGTGATTAGCTGTCTCTCCAGCTTGAGCTGTAGCCCAAATAGCCATGGAGAAGGTATCAATAACAACATGTACATATTTTATCCTACCAAATTCTGCTATATGAGTAACATCCATTTGCCATAATTGCAAAGGTGATAGGCCCCGTGGGTTAACTCCTGTTCCCAGGCCAAACCCTATTTTTTGACAGGATGGGCAAGAGGCGACAATGCCCTTTGCATCTGCAAGAGGAATTTTAAATTGTTTATGCAACATTTTTGCTGACTGATGCAAAAAACTGTGAGATTCCCTAGCTTGTGCAAACAAATTTCCAGAGGGCCCAGACCAGGCTGGAGCAACCACTTGATCAGCTCGTTCATTTCCATACCCTAATCCTTTTTTGGATTGGTGATTTCTGATGTGAGTAACAAAGTAGACAATGCTTCTCTGATCAAGAGTGTGAACTAGTTGTTGCACCAGTTTCCCTAAGTGTTCATTTTTTATTTCTTCTACTTGTCCTCATTCAATCCTTTTTACTACTCCTACTACATAAAGTGAATCAGATGCTACATTCAATCTCAAATCTGGCCAGGACAAAAATACCCACAAAACTGCTTGGAGTTCTAACGTCTGCAAGGAATCTTCTCTTTGGCCTTGAATGAGGTGATATTTCCATTCCTCTCCTTCTAACCCAGTTCTTTGTTCTATGTCCTTGTCATGTCCTTGCCGAGGCATGTACGTGTGCAGGATTGCTCACATGTCCATTATCTCCCAACACCGAATTTCTCAGGAAAACATGGTTAGCTTTCTCACTGCTCTCTTGCAGAGCTTCTGCTCCAGCACTGAAGCCACATGTCCAGACTGGAGTGTAATTCAGATCTCAGTCCCCAGAGGGATTAGAAAGACTACTACGCATCCCATCTACCACATATGCTTTGCAGCTGATGGCAACCTTCCAATACATTGAAAACTGGATCTCTGGGGGAAAAAAAAAAAAAAAAAGGCATAAAAATGAATATTTCTTCCTGGTAAGACCCTTCCCAAGCTTCCCTTTATGGATGGGCATTAGAAAAGGAGGATTTTTGCATCATTAATGCATTTATTACTTTTTATTCATGATGTCTGAAGAAGGTCCCTTTTTGTTCTAAATTTTACAATAAATACATATACTCAAAGCAGAAACATCTGATAGCATTCCTTTTTTAATATAGTCTATCAGGCACACTTTGCTGGGATAAGATATGGCCTTAGTATCCTATTAGTCGCATTGAGACAGGTTGTCTTTGGGAAAACACATCCCCATACATCCAGCCAAGCCTACCAGGATGCTGAGGCTCATGCATTTTGTGATGCTGCTGTAAGATCTATCAGCTGTGGATGGATCCAATTTTCTTATCTCACTCCCTTCACAGACACTTTTTCTGGTTTTATTAGACAAACCTTCTCTTGTTACAACAGTGCTGATTTCCTAGACTTTTCAGTAAGTTTATCAGTTCATCTGCTAGATGTGTGACCTGATGGAGAAAAGTGGTCTTTTATTTGTCCTACACTGCTATCTCATCCATCTATAGTAAAGTATACTTAAATACTTACATGAAGGAAAAACATGGGAAAACCATCACTGGCCAACTTTGACAATGAATTTAATATATCTTACACAAGTTGATCTGTAATATTCTCAGCTTCTGCACAAGAGTGACATCTTAGTCCTGGGTTAGTAGTTTCATCTGCTGTATCAAAATAATCTACTTTCTGCCTTGATAAAAAGCCTGCATTAACAAAGCATCATTTTGCCCCAGCTGGGTAAGGCAAAAGCAAGTGAGGTATCAAAAGCAGAATTAATCCTTACTGTATTAGAAAGATAGATATTTGTCATTAAAAGTAACTTAACTAATGGACTGTCTCAAAACACAGTGAAAGCTGCTCTATCCCTCACCTCACCTGTACCTCATTTCACTCCAGCCATCATCTGAGTGGCAAACAAAGCACAAAAGTGATGTCAGAAATGTAAAAAATAAAAAAATAAAAAAATCTGCTGGGACACTGGATTTGAAAGTCTAACATGTATCATTAATCTAACTCTTGACATGAGCCTCACATTACCTGCCAAATGTCAGAAGGCTGCTTTCCATTCTTGCTAAACCAGAAGTCGAAGAGGTCACAGGTCAGCAGAGGGCAGCGGGGGAACACCCAGCTGTGGGGTGGAAGGATGCTTTCCTCTTGTACCCGACACATCAGTATCAGGAAGAGGGAGGGGAGGGCTGCTCTTCCGCATTGGGTAGTCTGACACAAAAAGGTCCGGACCCATAGCAGCTACCAAAAAGGCATCGGGAAAAAAGAAATTTGGCCAGATTGCCCCTTTCAAGCTAAGCCACAAACCGAACTCCAGTGACAGCAAGTCTGAATTATCTAACCTCAGCAACATTGCTCAGGGGTGAAGTCAGACAAAACAAAGGCTTTACCAGATCCTGAAGGACAAGAATTTTAATTATATTCACGCAGAGAACACGTAAAACGTTTTCTCAAGCAGGTCTTTGCCTTGCACGTGCCAGTCCAGGCCTATTTACTATAGAGAGACTGAGAAGGTCGCTATTCTCTGTACACCAGCACTGCAGTTGCTTCAGGCTGCTGCTTGAACTGTGTCATACCACACCAACCATGCACAGGCCGCCTGCTCTGAGCAACGGGGTCAAGTGTGTGCTTGTTTCCATTTAACTGTATGAAATATTGTTGAAACTTGGGGTCTGACCCTGAGATGAACTGGGAAGCCCTCAGCTGTGCACCTTCGTGCTGCGGCCATTGGACAGCTCGCTTTTGTACTCCCAGCTCCCATCAGACTCAACTCCTTGGCACTTTGATGTAAAAGTCGGCTGCATCTCACCTGATCCACACCACGACGGCAGAAGGTGCCCCGAGGGAAGCGCCCGCACGCCCGAAGGCGGCTGCGAGGGTGCTGCTTCCAGCTCCCCGGCAAGGACTTGCTCCGGCAGCGGGAGCGGCGGCACCTGCCTCCCCGCCTGTGCGGGCTGCGCTGCC